AGTCTCTACTGATTGACTGACATACAACAAACTATTGTATAGTGATGCGAGTGGTTAAAACAGGTGATCTCTCTAGGCGGCCTTCGGCCCTCTTTTGGACAAATTAAGTGTTGCTGGGACTCCTCACTCCTTAATTAAAATGTTTCTTTTGTTTAGGTGACAGAAATCAAATAATAACGCTACTCTTATCATAAGTAAACTCTGCGTAAAAGTTTCGAAGAAAAACAAACATCTAAACCGTAACTTCTAACAGTGTTTTCTCACTTTTGCATATTTCCATTTTTTATGAAGGCTTTACCTTTCTATTGATCGTATAGACAAAACTAGAACCTTTTTAGTAATTTTGTTTGTAAATTTACAAACTCAGGCGAATATGAGTTTTGGTCTTTTGAGAGTTTTACGAAAGTTCTCCTCAAGCTGTAAAGGGTTAAGCACGTTCTATTAAAATGATTTTGAATAAGCAAATAAGTAAGGCACATGACAAAAATAGCCAATATCAAGTCGCGGTGGAACGGCATTTTTTTTCGGAACTGCATTTACACATTGTTTGATCTTATCATAAGAACAGTGCTGCCATCGAAAAATTGATCGTTTCGGGAAAAGTATGTAACAGTCCTTTCCAATGCAAAATATTCGTATACTCAGACTATAAAGATGAGTTCACATAAGGACTTACAATTTCTAAGACGGAAAATATCACCTGCACCTAATATCACTGGAAAATAAAGGAATATGGATCAACTTGGGGTACCATAATCATTCAGGAAGATACCCGCTACAAGTCATAACAAGCCATAGTAAAGCAAAATTTTGTACCAAGTGAGAATCTACGAACGCAAAGATCAGTGGCAAAACCAGTCCTCGTGCTTCTGACAAAAGAACCAAATATAGTTGCTTCTAAGACATATCCATTTCACCCTCGTCGATTTGCTCATGCAACTGGAAATCGAAACAGGTAATCATGGTATTCTATAAGAATAAATACCGATGAAATAGCCGGTATGTGCAATTGGACTGTTGAAACGGGCGTTGAAAAAATTGTCGTTCTTCTAAACTACATGGATTATGAATATATGTAGGGAACAGTGGTATGCTTTGGACAAGACAGTCTTACGACGGAGCATTTTACAATAGAAACTACACTGCATGGATGTCGACAAAATGCACTGTCGCCTGATAAAGAAAGACATTGACTGTAACGATGTGATGAGGATCCAAAATATATACTGAGTCAAATTCAATGGTGTGGTTCTGCGGGGTCGCAGGGGAAGCGTCGAACCATCACTTCAAATGTAAACCATTTTGATATTTTGAATGATTCCACTTTATGTATATACTACTAAAATATTCATTTACAAATCAATTCAACTTATCAGCAAACCGACTCAAATTTTACGCAAAGCAAGTCGGGACATTAACCACTTTTATCATTTAATAATTTTTAAAACGTAAATAATGTTTCTTACATGTAATTGTCCGAATTACATGTAACATAGGTGAGACCATATATCATTAATTTGTTGTGCAAAATTCCACTCAGCTAATAGCACCTGAATGAGAGTGGCAAACTGTGAGCTGACCACTAGAGATCCTACTGTGGAAACGTATGTGACAGTATGGGGGCATATATTTGGTGGTTCATATAATTTTCGTTTATCTTGCTTGTTCCTATCAATGGGATCGTAATCGTATCTCTAATATGGCAGCTACGTATAAAATGAAGTTTTTTATCGTTAACTTAAATCATATACTGACCTTGCACGTACTGCTGCTTTACAGTGATAAACCTCAAGCAGTGATTTTCTGAGCTTTTAATTAATTAACAAACACGGTAGTTCTTTAGATAATCCAGAACATGAAGGGGAGGGGGTAAGGAAGATCGTGTCTGTCTCTTGCGTCTGAATTTAAAACTACATCACTGCTCGGATCTAACTTCAACAAGATTAATTACTTCGTTTCGTATTGATGTATCGACGTACAATGACATCATCATTTCCGCACCTTTCCTGTATTTGGGTTGTAATCTGCTTTTTACATCACATATGACGCGGTAAAAGCAGCCCAGTAGTGATATAAATTTTGTTGAGGTTATTCGCTTGACATTAGGCTTTGATGAATATCAAAAAGATTGGAAATTACAAGGGCAAAGTCAAGATAAAATATAAAATCTCTTTAACAATATCAGCAATAATTAAAAAAAAAGCTAGCTTTATTGTTAGCCAGTATATTTATCAGAATATACTCACAAACCAGATTTTAGAAAAAAAAAAAAAACATGATACAGAAATTCCGCGTGTTTCAGGCCAACTTGAACTTCGTTAGACGCTGTTAATTGTACATGTTTTCGTTTATTCTAATTAAGAGATAAACTTATTCTAATGTCTGTTTTATAGCTTTTGTATGCGGAAACATCTGTTAGCTGAGTTTTTGCACAGATCTTAAAATATAACGTTGATAAACGTATAAACCTTTCATCTCTATATTTTGGAAGCCACCTTTATTAAAACACATAAACCTGTCCTTTGCCGCCAAAAAGAATTCCTATACAATCAACACATCCTTCAGTAGGTCTGTGACATTTCCTGATTGGCTTAAGGACTTGCCAATC